GATGAGAATGCATTCTATATCCATGTTTCCAAATTTGACATAGAAGTCAAGGTTTCTGACGTCACCTTAAGAACTCCTTTGACATCAGCAAGTGGCAGGCTAAATCCTTTGCAATGACGGCCAGTGACCTTCTGTAGACACCTAGTCCTGTCTTTCATTAAAAGAATTAATTCCACAAATATTTAAACTCTCCTGCTTTTGTGATAAAGAAGAAGCTTGTGTTTAAAGATCTGTTTTCCCCTCACCCCTGGCAACGGGAGAGAGCAGGGAGCTGGTGTGATTCAGTTAGGAGGACAGGAGAATCGCCAGGCAGGGATGGAGAAAAGCACATCGCAGGCTCTCGGCAGATGAGCCTCAGATCCACCTCAGATGCCAGCGGGTCAGCTGTCTCCTCACCTCTACTTCTCACTGGGCAAACATGGGCCCCAGGGACAGCACCCCTAGCCTGAGAGGGAACTGTGTGTTTTCGTTCTGGATCCCCAAATGGAGACTTGGGTTTGCCCCCCTCACTACAATCCCGGTGTCCAGGTGCTCTGGCACCTCTGTCCGAGCTCCATCGTGGCTACTTCTGTCTGCAAGGCAGCCGCAGAGGCTGCACGTGCAGCTAATCAGGTCCACCATTGTGTGTGGGAAGGGACTTGGTGCCAGTGTTATTTCCAGTCACCACACTGATGTCTCGGATCTGGCAGAGCTTTGCCAATTCATCCGCTGTGCTGAAAGCTCTGCACCACAAACGGCCTCCACACTGTCTCTGTCACCAAACTCCGTCAGCAGTGTTTGCTCCTAAGCACACTTGTTTGGAGTCAGCCATAATGGGACATTTCAGGGCTGATTAGGGAAAATAAACAGGAACTGGAAACCTGCAGGCCTTTGTCTTAATAGCTGGTACTCTGAGCACGTCATCATGATCAGAAAACGCCTACTGCTTGTCCCCATCACCAAACAGCATCCCCAAAACAGACTGGGACCATGCCTACCTTCCATATCTTCGGGGCCTCTCTACACTGTAGTGACCACTAGAACAGGGGAATTAATAAAGGAGTGAGATTTATAGAACTTTAAATGTTATTTCTGTGTTTTTGATTTACACACACACACACACACACACACACACACACACACACCAGCAGTTTCTAAATTCAGGATGCAAGCTAGCCAGGAAGACATTAAAATGATTTTTTCCCCTCCTCTTTCCACTTCCCCTAAGAATTTACTCCTTTCTTTGCCTTAACCACAATTTCCATAGACTTCAACAGTGAACGCCGGAAACCTTATATTTCAAATGAGTTTTGGAAATGACTCCATTTTTCAAAATGAAAACAAAATGCTAAGCCAAGGGAAAAAATAGGGGCAGGAAACTAAGCAAAGATGAGGGGGAAAAAAACCTTACATGATAACATATAAAGGAAACAGGGAGATACATAAAATACAGCTGCATCAAGCATTTTAAAGCCTGTACTTCCCATATCCAACCATGGAAAATGTTAAAAATTGGTGCCCTGGCAAATATAAGGCTTTATTGTTTTTGAAAACAAACATATTTTTCATGTGTATGTGGGGTGCATGTGTGTGTGCACACACAGGTGTGCATGCATGTGCATGTATGTGCCTATACACTTATATGGGTACACGCACATCTTTTCATGTGCATGTGAAGCCTGAAGTTGGCACGGGGGGTTCTTTCTTCCTCTTTAAGGCAGGGTATCTCAGCTGAAGCCAGAGTCTGCAATTATAGCTGGTCAGCTGTCCAGCTCCCTCAGAGATCCTCTGCCCGAGGAATGCAGGAGTTTCAGGCGGGCATCACTCCCACCTGCCATTTACCAGGGTACTGGGAGATCTGAACTCTGGTCCTCATGCTTGATGCATGTGTGGCAAGCACTTTAAACAATGTGCCATCTCTCCAGCCCAAACATACTTTTTCTACGAACAGATGGCCACCTAGGCTGTGGCTGATATTATTTTTGACACTTCACCTGCAGAAGTAGAGTCCACATGTCACTCAGGAGCAACTGCATCTCTGAGTCAACAGCTCTGCAGCTCAGCTCCCATGACAGTGAAGCCTCGTCTGCCCTTTCTAAGGTGAGACTCAGTTATTTCAGGCTGGTTGCTGGCATTAGCTGTTCTTTGTTTCTTTCTGAAATCACGAGTGCTTACACTCACAACTTATCAGACTCCCATGGATAGGGGCTGTAAGTCATCTTGGAAAGGTCCTCCTTTGTCATGTGCTCCTGATTGTAGACTAGCAAGACTGGACTCTACCACTCAGATAACAACCCCAACCTTTGTGAACTGTATCTCATTTTCAGGGGTTTCTCATTACAGCATATGAGGATCAAGTTAGGTCAGCTTGGCCAAGCAAACTTTTCCCACGAAGTGCTTTCTATGTTCCTACTTATCTGGGCCTCTTAGCAATATTCGCTCACTGCCTGGAGGACAAGTCAGTTTCTAAAACACCTTCCAGGCTCACATTTCTTTCCTGCTTTTTAACACCTCCCTGAAGCTCCAAGGTTAAGACCCGCCTGCCCTTTCTCTCAGGAATCTTCTAGGACACAGGATTTACCATTTTATTGTCTCTAAGCTTGGTGCAGGATGTTCAATACCATTTTTATAGCAATGGCTTAGGGTTTCCATTCAGTATCCAATATTCTTCCTGACATGTTCGATTGCAGTGATATACTATTTTCTCCCCTAAAAAAGAACCCCCAAGTGTTCCAATTATCAGCACAGTTATGACGATGACAATGGGGCCGCAGCAGACGGCAGTATGGCAAAACTCTAACATATTCCACATCCCAAAGCCAAACTTCCAGTTCACACAGACATCTCTAAAGACTTCATTTGTGGATGAGCTGGGGATGGGAGACCCCTCTCCACCCTACCTGGGTAAAGACGCATACTGCCTCTCCATCCCTTCAAAGCGGAGGTTGTGTGTGCTTCCATCTGGACCCTTTCCAGGCACCTGTGGAGAGAGGGGTAATCAGAGCTGAGGATCCATTATACACCCTGGTTACTGACAATGCATCTCGAAATTCCAATCAGTGCAAACGCTGTAGCAGCCTGCCAAAAATCCAACCTGGGGAAAGTGAGCAAGCACTCGGCATTGCCACGGGCAGCGATGATCAAGCTACAGGCATTGTGCTTGACAACAGTCACTTCTTTCTAAAAGGGTCACTGCCAAGCCGACTCCTTCCCATCTCCACAGCCAGGAGTATTATATAGGTGTTTTCTCTTCTTTGCCAAATTGACGTTAGTTTTTAGGAGAGATTTAGAATTATAAAGAAACTGAACCAATGGCATAGTGAGTTGGTTACCCTGTGCCTAAATTGCTCTTATTTTAGGAAGGGACATTTCTTACAATTAATGAATAAGTATTGGTATATCACTGTTAACTAAAGTTCATAGGTTATTTATATTTTTATTTACTATTCTTTCTGAACCAAGGATCGCGTCTCAGGTGTTATGTTATGTTTAATCATTGTATTGTCAGAGGCTCCCTCCTGTTGGCTCTGTTTAAACTTTAAAAACACAAAACAATTATCCTGTGTGCATGTGTTCATGTGTCTGCATGTGTCCTGCTGCATGCAGAAAGGTTAGGGACAAATCCCCTGGATTCTGGGGATTGAACTCAGGTTATAAGGCTTGGTGGCAAGAGCCTTTTCTCATGTGTCATCTTGATGTCCCCTTGGCTGTGAGTTTTAAAAGCAATGGGAGCCTTTCTTCACTAACAGGGATTAATGTTAACTGAATGCTTGCTGCACAGTGCCTATAAAGCCTTCCCTGACACCCTGACCTTCATCTCATTTTGTCCCTTATGAACAACCGCTTGGAAACTATGAATTGTTTTCCCACAACATTGGTCCTATATATTTGCCCCTTCCTGTGTTTCCCTCGGACTTTGAGGCCCTGACGTGACTAGATTCAGTAGGTTCTGAGAGCGTATTGGATTGCTGAACACAAAGGCCTTCCACCTCATCCTTCTGTGTCCATCATACCAGTCAGTGGATGGATAGACACAGGCATGGGAAAAACACTGCCTGGTGGCTGGTGGCTTACCCATGTGAGCACATATGCTGTTGTGGGCCATTCATGTGCTTGCTTTTATATGCGAGGGTGGCCTTTGTTCAAAGGCTTGGGAAGGATCAACTGAGAATTTCTACTAGAATTGAGGAGAGAGGAGGAGAGTTTGCTAGAAACCAGGAAACAACATTGTCAAAGTCATTGGTAGACATTTCTAAGTCGTACTCAGCAGCTGAAATCATTTCCTTCTTGTTAGGAGCCTTAGTTTTCTGTTCGTCGCTGCCTTAGCAGTGTGGGTAGGATGTGTGTACACACGCGAGTGCTGCCGGTGGGTTCTGTGGGGACAGATGCTTCCGAGCAGATCTGCACGGCCAGGGAGAATAAGCTACTCCTGGGATCTAATCATCACACGAAGCCTTTTAGCACCTGTCCTGAGGAACTGTTTCAGCAATGCATGGATCGGAAGTGGAGAAGTTATCGTTCTTTGAGATTTTCATATGTCCATTCACAACCAGGTCCATTTCCCTCCTCCAGCTCCCTCTGTGTCCCCTATAACATGACCCCCTCCCAACTCTTTTTTTGTGGTTTTGGTTTGGGTTTCTGTAGATAAGGTTTTTGTCCTTCCTGCCCTGTGAGAACTATCTCACAAGCATTCTAGACTCCAGAAGACGTAGCAAATCCTCATCCTCAAGGGACTTTCCGTCTTGTTGGGAAGACAAGCACTAGGAATGCAGTGAGAATGTGTGATGGAGGACCGCACATCCCGTCCAGGATGCTGCCATTTGGAGCACAGATGGAAGCTGAAGGTATCAAGAAAAACCTCATGAAAGAGGCAGACCTTGGGCCTGATTTCAAAAGACAGGCAGGATGTTTGCACATCAAAGATTGTTCTGTTCCTCACCAATTGGGTATCTCTCTGAGTGCCTCTGTACTAACACTGCAGCACCGTGCAAAAACAGTCACGCAGTAAGCAGTCACCCAGCACCTCTGTACCCTAATATACAGGAGGTAGTGTGTTCCAAGTGCTGAAGAAATGCAGCTCTTGTTCTTGAGGAGGTAGACCTGCAAACAATTATGCCTCGATGACATCATGCTCGAGTGGACGTCTGGGGAAGGAGGCAGCACCTGGGAGAATTGAAGACAGCCTCAGATGAGTGGTGATGCCTCCTCCACAGCTGAATATGAATGAGGAGCTTTTCTGGGGGATAAAAATGAGCAAGAGCAATAGGAGGCACCCTAAAAACAAAGAATAGGCATGCAGCAGCACTGGTTTTAGGGTTGGCAAGATTTGGGTAAGGCAGAAACAGAGCATTAAAAGTATAAGTGTGTTTCTTACCACCTGCAGAACTGGGTCTGCTCTCCCTGCTGTTGGTGCTGCACTGCAGGGGTTTGTGCTGTGCGTGACACCCTGCCCACCCCTTTAAAAATAGGGTCTCTTAAAGGTCTGGATCTTGCCAAGTAAACTATAGGCTAGCTGGCAAGTGATCATCAGAGCTTCCTCCACCTCTGCCTCACTGTTTCTGAGGGACTGTGTACCATACCTGGCTTCTTACAAGGGTTCTGGGAGTTAATTTGAACTCTCTTGCAAGCACTTTGCTTACTGAGTCATCTCCCTAGCTTCTGCAATGCTCTCTCTCTCTCTCTCTCTCTCTCTCTCTCTCTCTCTCTCTCTCTGTGGTGTATGCATATGCAGGTGGGTGCACATGTGTGTACAGGTGTGTGTGCATGTGCAGGTGGGTGCACATGTGTGGACATATGAGTACAGGTACTTGTGCATATGCAGGTGGATGCACATGTGTGTACAGGTGAGTACACATGCATAAGCTTGTGGGTTTACATGAAGGTGGGTGCACATATGTGTACATGAGTCCAGGTATTTGTGCATATGTAGGTGGGTGCACATGTGTGTACAGATGCACGTGTAGAAGTATGAATTGGCAACAGAGGTTGACAGTGGGTGTCTTCCTTGACTGTTCTCCACCTTATAACTGACACAGGTCTCTCGCCTGAACACAGAGCGAACCAATTCAGTTAGTCTAGCTAGGCAGCTTGCTTTGGGAATCCCTGTGTCTGCTTACAGAGTGTTGAGATTAGGTGTAGGCTGCTCTCCCTGCTTGACATGTTCCTAGATACTGAGGATCCAAATTCCAGTCTTCCCACTTGGGTAGCAACTACCTGCTGAGCTACCTTCCCAGCCCCTCTCTCCAGCAAGACTTTGGATTTATATCAAATAGGATGGTTCAAAGATTTTCCCTAAACCTCTGCTCATACATATGATTAACTTCTCCCATTATCGGAACCCCCATCCACAGTGGGGACAATTTTGGCCACCTTAACTGCATGGTTTATGTTAGGGTCCTCTGTGTACACAGTGTGGGTTTGGATAGTCAAATGACATGTATCTGCAATCACAGTCACACAGAATAGTTTCAGTGGCCCTAGATCCTCTGTGCTCTCTGCCTGCTCATCTATCTCTCCTGACAACAAGTACGTGACATCATATGTCATTGGGAATATGTAAATTGAAATCATATGTCATTGGGAATATGTAAATTGAAATCATATGTCATTGAGAATATGTAAATTTTTGCCTTCATGGTTTTAACTTCCAGAATGTCAAAAGTTGGAATCATACACAGTGTAGCCTTTTCAGATTGATTTATTTTACTTGGTAATCTGCATTTAAGTTTTTTTCCAAGTCCCCCCCCCACTCCTCTTGTTGTTGTGACTTGAGAGCACATTTTTTTTTATCACTGAATAATCTCCTTCTTTCTGGGTGTACCACTGTTTATCCCTCCATCTCTGGAAAGGCTTCTTGGTTGCTTCCAAGTCTTGCCAATTATGAACAATGCTTCTGTAAATATTTGTGTGCGGGTTTTTGTATGGACGTAGGTTTCAACACCTTCCGGTAAATACTGAGGAGGGCAATTGCTGGATCATATGGTTAAGACTATGTTTAGTTTTGCAAGAAAGTTCCAAATTGCCTTCTTGCATGGCTGTGCTACCATGGTCTCCCTTCGGCTCCCCGAAGTAGACCTCCTGTCCTGTCCTTCTGCAGGAGCATATGATGGTGCTGTGTTCCAGGCTTTGGCCGTTCTCACAGCTATGCCTGGGATCTCATTTTAACTTGCACATTTCCGATGACTTACGATGTTACATACTCGGTCGCCACCTATGTATTTTTGGTGAGATGTCAGTTGACATCTTTGGGTCATTTAAAATTGTTCATTCTGTATTGCTGAGTTTTAGTCATTTGCCCGCAGATTTTGTACGGCAGTCATTTATCAGATGTGTCTCTGGTGAGCATCCTCCGCTGTCAGTGGCCTCACTAGCGTCTTTGCCAGATCAGAAATGTTTAATTTTAACAGAGTCCAGCTTACTGATTATGCCCTTCACTGGATTGTGATTCTGGTGTTATTTCTAAGATGTTATCACTTAGGTCATCATGATGTTCTCCCGTGTTATCTCCAGGGGGCTCTACGGTTCCTATGACTACTCACATTATAGTGAGGAGGTTCCCGGTGGACACCTGAACCACAGGGGAGAAGGGTCTAAACTAGGGGATTTTTCCAAAAGATTAAGTAAGGGACATAAGGATGTCAAGAAGGTGGATAGATTAAAGGGAAGGATCTGTCCAGAATAATGCCCAAGTCTCTAGCTTTAGCATATGATGGTTTGGTAATATGATAAAAGAATAACAGAGAAGTTCTAGGGAGTAGGGAACTGAGATATTTAAGGGAAAGGCCACAGAACAGAGAAGGATGTGCAGTAAGAAAAGACTATCAATAACATACTTGGAAACATTCATTAGGAGGCAAGCAAATGAAGCTGAACCAGAAGGAATCTAAGAAGTAGCTGTTCCAGAAGGGAAACAGTAGAGAGTGATATTATAGAACCAAAAGATAAAGGGAGGGAGGGTAGACAACTCAATTGGTAAAATACTTGCATTGCAACTATGAGAACTGGAATCACTTATATAAATAGCCCACAAGCAGTGTGTGCCTATAATCCAGGCATAAAGGAAAGAGAAACAGGATTCCTGGATCTTGTTAGACAGCCAGTCTAGTACACTGCTGAGCACCAGGTTCAGTAATAGACTCTGTCTTAAAAATAGAATGGAGAGCTATTACGGAAGACACCTAATTGCTGGTCTTTGGCCTCTTTACACAGAGACAACACACATACACATATACACCAGGCCAAATCCACCCACCAACTTCCCTGACACCCATCAAGAGATAAGAACTCTATGAAGAAGAGAGAAGCCAGAGGTGTCAAGAGCAGTCAAGGCAGAGGATTGCCCCCAATTTGAGGCTAGCCTGGACTACATAATGAATGTCACATTAATTTGGGCTACAGTATGAGACTGTCTCAAACCAAATCAAATTCCAAAATAACATCAAGCACCAACGCTGTTAGTCGCTTCAGTGAGATGGGGAATGGGCTATACATGGTCTGGTGATGGGCTGTGATCAATCCTGCCTTCTCATGGAGTGTTACCGTTAACGAAGAGCCCAGAAAGATAAAAATGCAAAAAATACCACACACACACACACACACACACACACACACCACACCCCACACAACCTTTCTTAGAATTTCCTTGCAGCCAGGGATTTAACTTAGGGCATAGCATCTGAAGAATGCAATAAAAACAGTGGTTGCACCTCGCTGCTTATTCTGGCAAGAATGCCTTAGGGTATGCTTGATTTCCTCAGGCTCTTTCAGCGGACACAGCTCGTTTCTGGAGAGGCTGTACTTTTTAATATCTGGCTTTGGAGTCGGAAAAAAATAGAAGTGGGCCTGGTGGGAGCAGATTCCTAATCATGGTGGCTCCAGACACAGGTGGCTCTCTAGAACCTAAAGGTTCTGATGGAAGCAGCAGCTCTCTCTGGGTGCTCTGTACTGGTTTGGGGCTGAGGAAGTCACCCCTGAAAGTACACACAGGGACTTGTTCTTTAATGTTCCCTATGGTACTTGTAAAATTGTTACTATGATGCAAAATGTATTCCTGCTTCACTAGAGTGGACATTGTTCCTGCACTTAGACAGTGGCCAGTAGTGCCTAAGAGAACACACGCTGGCGTTGGCAGTGTGATGGTGATGGGCTCTGCTGAGGGCGGTGGGTGGGTTACCAGGCGACAGATAATTCCTGGAGTTCCCCAATAAACCACCAGCTTCTGGTTGTGCTGTCTTATCCTGTCACCCCCACAAAATAGGATTAATACTTTCAAGTACAAATGCATTTATTACCATTTCCCAAGCAGAGTAACACCCTGCATACTGAGAAGTCCACTCTAAGATGTGGTTGGTTAATGGAAATGATGAGAATAAATTTGTATTTCATTATTTAAAAAAATAGATTTAACTTTTTCTCCCTAATTTATTATTACAGGAAAATCACCAAAAGATGGCCTCTGTTAGCATTTCTAAATATATACAAAAACTTATTGCTATGTAGAATTTTTTTCCTGTCTTTATTATTGGCCTTTTTATGTGCTATTGAATATATCTCAGAAATGTGAATTTTAATGGCTATATAATATTGCATTAAATAGATAAATCATAACTTGTCTAATATACTCCTGTAATTTGATCAGTTTTTTATATCATGATTAGAAATGGTAGTGACATAGATTAGTGTGCTGGGCACAAATATTCTTGGAAATAGCTATAAGTGGGGGGTAGGAAATGAGAGCGAGAGGATTGCCAAAGAGACGCCAAGTTGAGACATTCCTAGGTCCTCAGGAAGAGAGGCCACTTGAGGAAGGAGTGAGGGGACAGAAAGCAGGCATGGGCATTTATAAACTCATTTCTCGGTTTGCTCTTTGCTTACAGAAACTCAGAAGTATTCCTGCTTGAAGAACTCCTTATAAGGAAACTTCCCTCATCTCACACACACAAAAAGCAGGTCAGTGGCTTTGATTCAATTAATTTTTTAAGCACTTTATCTTACTTGAGATCATGTAGTGGTGTTTTGTTTTTAATATAATGAGCTAAATATAAACCTGATAAAAACAATCCTGATTTAAGCCATAACAGAAACTCAAACACAGCAGTGCAATGTTAGAGCTCACGCCTGGATGCCAGCGAATGTATCTTTCTTTGACTGACCCTGCCCAGGAAGTGAGGCTTCTGACAGTTTTCTCAAAACATGGAGAGCCACATGTGGTAGCTCTCTAGCAGGATTAGCAGCGCCTAGGACAAGCCCAAGACAGGGCTTGGGAGGAAGACAGAATCAGGAGGCTTTTAGTCCGCTGGAGTTCGCCCAGTTTTGTGCACTCAATGTCTGCTGCTGGCTGGAGCATTAAGAGCCTTGTTTAAAAAAGCTATTAGTCTCTCCTCTGCAAAGGCGAGGCACTTGCTGCTTACGTTCTGCTTGGTTCCTCCAGTTCATATGAATTTCTGGCTCAGCATTACTAGAATCAGCAATTTCATGAAGCAATATCCTAAAGAGGCCATTGGATCTTCCCATCTCCCCATTTGCAGATTAGTGTAAGAGAGGAAATAGAACACCCTCACTAACATTTTAAGTAATTTATTAAAAACAAAGGAATAACCACACAGGATTTTCTGCAAATGTCTGATGATGAGAAGTGGAAATTATTTGCAGATTAAAATGCATCCCAGTCTCTGTAGGTTAGGACACATTTTTGTCAGCATTGTAATTGATGCCTCATAAGCCAATTTTCTCAAAAGAATTTAAAAGCCACGGTGATGGAAAAGCCAAATAAAGTTGTAATGTAGCCTATTCACCTATATATAACATCTTCATTTGCAAAGATGTCTTACTTAGATCCATTACAAAAAAATGAGTTTCCCACTGCCAGACACATCCTACGATGAAATGCAAAGTTCGGAAATTCCAATGTTATTTAAGGGAACATGCCTTTTGAGTTGCTGTCATGGCAAACGGAGCAGTGCTGCACACTACTTTTAATTCGATGACTCTTGCACAGTTACCGGTTCGTTGTAAGGTGTTTACAGGAATCGTCATGTGAAAACTTGGGAAAAGTTACAAACTTGGCTTTGAACACCTTCTAGCTTAATGCCACTTTGCTAAAACGTAACACATTCAGAGGAGACCTGAAGTGCAACACCCGGAACAAAATGAAGTAACCAAGATAGGTTGTTTAGTAGTTTCTCCTTGGCAATGGGAAGTGTATTATGCCTAGTCTACACACTCCAGAGAGGAACACACACTCGTTCAAACCATTATTTCTGAAGTGTTTGTTTTCTCTAATTTGATTTCAGTAATTTTGTCAAATAACCGGGTACTCAGCTTATAGACTAGCACAGAACATCTGCTAGTTAGAAAATACAGCAAATAATCTATTTTAAAGATAACGCTGGAGTAAGCTTTTTAACCATTCCATGCCCACATTTTCTTGCCTTGCAAATATCACAAGTTAAAACAGAAATTCTTGACGTCTCTTCTAGCTTGTATAAATTAGGAAGAGTTCTGTTGCATGTAGTTTCCACATACACTTTGCCCATGCACACCTCATTAACACAGGAATTGTATATAGGTGATTATGATTTTATAGCTGAATGACAAGATAGCCACATAAGCTGGAATCTGTTCTGTATTAGGAAGCCATAAACTATTCATTGACATTTAAGCATGAAATCTTACACTAACCACATACTAGCTGTATGTTCCCTGGGTCATGGCACCTTAATAACCTGAACTATCTCTGTTATGATTGTCTTTGCAGAAAATAAAACCAGACATCTCCTGCCAGCTCTGTTTGTGTCTGGGCATAAGATACAGTTACCATAGAAACGATGATTGTGGATACAATTTTACAAATTTGACTTCATCTCTCTGATGCATGTGGGCAGGACTGTGTATGTGTGAGGGTGTGAGGGTGTGTGTGTGTGTGTGTATGTCTGTGTGCGCGCGTGCACCCATATAAGTACCCTGACAAAAGCTTTAAGAGCCAATTCTGGCTCTGTGTCTTTAATTAAGGAGTCATACATTATTTCTCATTTCCTCTCCCTCATCTGCCTGCTGACAAATAGAGATACTGAAACACTTGGCTGAGATATCAAGTCATACTAGAAGAGACAAACGTCTGATGAAAAGATGGGGAAAGGTATGAAGAAAAGCATTTCCAAAGAAACCTGGTATTCACCTGTACTGCACCCTCCAGGGGCACATGGGGTTTGCGGAGTTGGATCAGCCTGGTACACACTACTGTGCAGCACTTATTTCCTAACTCTGTTTCTAATTGTTTCCTGGTTCTCACTGCTTCCTTTTTCAGCATTCTGTGATGGGCCCCTCATTCATCCAAAAAGAAGTGGAGTTGACCCTCAAAATATGTCCAAATATTAAGTGACATCAGTCATTCACACACTTATCCTGAGTCTCCACTCCTCCCTTCAGCTGATGAAGAGTGCCATTCGTCAGACCTTCTGGCATGGTTCATATATGTTCTGTTGGTGACGACAAAGCATGCAAACATGGAAACTTCAGCTCCTTCTTCTCAATGTTGATGTTTTCTGTTTTGTCCGGGGACAAGATCTAGCCACTTCCCCCTTCAGGAACAGTCTGTGCAGTGAGTACGGTGTTAGCATTTCCACCTCTGCCTTTCCACACATGAAGAGCTGAGAGTGAAGACTGACTGATGTGACTTGCCTCGGCTCAGACAGTGGCAGTGCCAGGCTTTGAACTGACGTGCGTCTGCTTCCAAAGGCAGCATTTTTCCACTGTCTCATATTTTAGGCAGGAAGTAGCACACTTAAAAAATTTTCCTTTCAGAGCTGGGCGGTGGTGGTGCACGCCTTTAATCCCAGCACTTGGGAGGCAGAGGCAGGCAGATCTCTGTGAGTTCAAGTCCAGCCTGGTCCACAAGAGCTAGTTCCAGTACAGCTAGGGCTGTTACACAGAGAAACCCTGTCTTGAAAAACAAAACAAAACAAAACAAAACAAAATTTCCTTTCCCCAAATAAAGGACTAAGACCAGAGACTTGATCCTTCTCGGTGAACCTTTGCAGGCAGCAATGGGAAGGAGCTGTGAAGTTGTAACTTTTTACAAGCACCTGATTTATCATGATCTTCAAAACCATAGCCGCAAACAGTGGCCTAGTCATACTCCTTTAACATAGCTGCAGGCAATAATATATGCACATGTTTGATTTTTTTGTTTAATACAGCAATTTCTAATAAGATGCTATGTTTTATAAAATAGCCTACTTTTTAGACAAATCTTTAGATTATTCATAGGTGATTATTGGTCTGTTAATTCAAAGCCTCATACTGAAAGCTTCATGTATGCTGGGATGGAACCTCATTTTTGTGCCATTGCATTTTCAGGGCTCACAATATCACTTTTTAAAGAGCTGTTACTTACTGAGTTAATGAAAGAGAAATGCCAAGCATGACCTCAGAGGAAGTTAACAGAGTAGATTAATAGATTCTTTAACAACTAGTTAGGTTTTTGAACCAAACCTGTTAAATAGTAGAAAAGATATTACCAATATGTTTTTCTTTTATCATTGGGTGTGATGTGCACATGATGTATGTGATTTTGTGTATGCACATAGGAGTGTGCGTGTGTGTGTGTGTGTGTGTGTGTGTGTGTGTGTGATGGTATACATGTGAAGAAGATCAGAGGACAACCTGATTCCAGTTCTTGCCTCCCAGCTTGTTTCGAGACAGCGCCTTTCTGTTCTTCATTGTTGGCATATATCATGCTAACTGCCCTGCAAGCTTGCATGAATCCCACTTCTGTCTCTCACACTGCCACTGGAGTGCTACCAGCATTGCAGACATGGCTACTGCCCTGGCTTCCTTTGTGTTCTGGGGATTGAATTCAGGTCCTTTGCTTGTGTGGCAAGCTCTTTACCCACTGAGTCATCTACTCCAGATATAACATGTTCTGAAGAGAGATTTAACGTCATGCCCTGTTCCATGTCATGTTCTGTTTACACAGTCTCATTTTTTAATATCCATTTAAAAGTAACCAACAACAAACTGCAAATATTCTTACCCAGAAATCAACTTGGCTCTGGAGGACTAATTAAAACTACCAGGAACCTTAATTACATAATTGATATAAGTGACAAAGATTATTATAAGATCCAAATAATTTATTCCGTAGGGTAGGTTTTTCCAATGGATGAATTCCCGAATACACTGGGCATGGTACCATGGCTCCGAGTAGCTGTCTCAGAAAGAATCTATCTAATCACTAAAGTCATATCCATCTGACCTCTAATGCTGGACTCCGACAGGCATTTTCCACTAAATTTATAGTAATCAAGTTATTTTGTGATTGACCTCTATCCAATGAGTTCAAGTACTAGAAAATGAATGAAGATAGGATGAAGTGGAAGGAAGAATTAGCCAGAAAGCATTCAGAAAATAGATGTTTTATGTTAAAATCTACCTAGAAAAACAAAACTAAACTAAACAAAGCAAAATAAACACACACACATCAACTCTATTGCTAAAAAAAATTAACCAGTACATAACATTTTCAACCTCTTTGCAGCTCTATCTTGCATGCTCAATAATCTGATCTCATCACAAATTTCCTGGATGCTGGGCATGTACTTACTGCCATTTCTTTAGTGTCGGTAGCTTTTCCCAAGATCAGCTTATGCCCTAAACATTTAGAGGCTCAGTAAGAGCTGGATGGGTGAATGAATAGAGCAACAGAAGTGGTCACAGTTGGCCATATAGATATTAAGGCACAAAAACCAATGGAACATTAGTGGCTAAAGAAAACAGAATCTATAGGAGCTGGTTGTTAGATCATTAACTACTGATACACAGAGAAGAAAGCTGAGAGAGAGAGAGAGAGAGAGAGAGAGAGAGAGAGAGAGAGAGAGAG